GTCAATTGGAGATGTATTTTCCTCCATCATTTTTTGACATTATGGTTCACTTACTTGTTCATCTAGTCCGAGAAATCAGAATTTGTGTATTTGATAGAGCGATATATGAAGATCTTTAAAGTATATACGAAGAATCATCACCGACCGAAAGCTTCGATTGTTGAAAGGTACATCATAGAAGAAGTTGTTGAGTTTTGTACAAATTATTTGTCGGACGCAAATTTTATAGGAATTCCAAAGTCTCATCACGCTGACACAGACAAAAGAGGTATTCAAGGTCTAAATGTTAAATCAATGGCTCAGGATGTAGTTATTCAAGCATATTTCTATATATTGAATAATATAGATGAAGTTTAACCTTTCATAGATACTTACAAAAGACTTTTGAGGAAAAAACATCCCGGATGAGTAACAAGTTGTTGTTGATAGAGCATAATAAGAGATTCATATATTGGTTTAATAAAAGTGTATCTAATGATCGTAGTGCACTCGAGATACTTAAATGGTTGTCGTACGAGCCAAAGTTTTGTGTCATTACTTAGACTGCATACGACATTGGTCATTATACCTTTTATACAAAATCAAAAGATGATCGTAGTATAATGCAAAATAGTGGGGTTATGGTTGAAGTCGAATCAATTTATTTCTCTAGTTTGAAAGATGAGAATTGTGTATTGGCAACTACCGTGTTTTATGGTGTCATTGATGAGATTTGAGAGTTTGATTATGTTATTTTCAAAGTGGCTTTATTTAAATGCAAGTGGATTTTCAATAATAGTAATGGTGTACACATTGATGACTTAGGATTCACCCGGGTCGACCTTGGCAAGGCATCTTTTATGACCGAACCATTAATCATGGCTTCTCAAGCAAAACAAGTTTTCTATGTTACCGACCCATCGGACATATTGGGGAAATGGTCAATCATTCTCTAAGGGAAACACATTCCTCTTAGTGATGAAATTCTTGATATTCCATCCATACATTCTTACACAGCACAAGTTCCTACCTCATATGATGAAGTTGATGGAGATGTCGTGCATGTTATTCGAATCGATCATGAAGAAGGAATATGAGAAAATTAACAAGTACGTAATTTATTCTTTATTCATAATATACTAATTGTATGTTATAGTTTTTAAGTATTTTTACTAACAAGTATAATTATTTGAAATCATAGGTCTTTAGAGTCAAGACACCAAGAGACAAGACACCAAGATACCAAGTTACAATTATGTGATGTTATGTAATGTGTAAATTATAGGTCGTTTGTTCTGATAAATTGTAGGATGTTTGTTTTGATACAATTGAATATGATACAATTGTGTGATATTATGAATATGATACAATTAATATTATTATGATAACTTTATCACAAATGTGAGTTGTATTTTCTACTGTGATATAGTGAACAATAATATAGGTTAAAAAATGGGATTAATTATAAAAGTAGGATAATATTTGTTAATTCTGTAGAAAATGTAAAAACGGATATATATCATAATCGTGATAATATTTGTTAATTCTGCAAAAAATTTAAACGGATATATATCATAACCGTTAAAATATCTTGCGCGCTGTCCAGAAAAAAATAAATATCAAAATGGTGCAGCTGAGAATCGAACCTAGGACCATTATTTTTATCTCAACGGTTTTTTGGAAAACCCGTTGTGATAGGGCGTGCACTTTCCAGTTTATTACAACGGTTACTAGGTCGTGATTGTAAGTATCATATATACAATGACACTCTACATAACAATGTATGTATATATCATTCCAAGTAGTGGTTATAAGAAAGTGGAGGTCTTGATACCTATGCTAAATACATCAGATTTGCCAAAGCTATACATGGAGGAAAAAGACGATCTGGAAGCATGCTTTTCTATTGAGGAAATTTGTATTGCAGTTTTTGAATGCGACAAGAATAAAAGCCCGGGACTAGATAATTGTTGGGATAGATGTCGTTAATTGTATCAAAGAATTTCATTCTACTGCGAAACTTCCAAAAGCTATGACTCCTTCATTCATTGCGTTGATTCCAAAGGTTGACAACCCACAAAAGTTAGAGGAGTACAAACTTATCAATCTCATAGGTTGCATCTACAAAGTTATTTTGAAGCTTTTGGAAACTCGCTTAAGGAGAGTAATTGGTAAGCTTGTGTCAAGTTCTTAGACTGCTTTCATTCCTGGTAGACAACTTCATGATGGTGTGCTTGTGGCAAAATCGATTTTCAACATGCCTATGATTGTATTGATTGAGAATATCTATTGAGGATCCTAAAAGATATGGGGTTTGGAGACAATTGACTAACATGGATGAAAAGAGGTGTACTCACTTGTTATTTATTAGTCTTGGTAAATGGAAGAACAGCTAGGAATTTTAATTCTTCAAGGGGTTTGAGACAAGGAGACCCCTTATCTCCTTTCTTTTTTGCTTTAGTGGCTGAAGGTTTGGCACTTATGGTCAGAAGAGCTAGCAATATGGGCATCTTAAGAGGTCAGGATCTAAACGAAAATACGTGTTATAATCTGTTATAATTCGTAGAAGACACCTTAATATTTTGTGATGTTGTTTGCTCTAACTTGTGGGGTTTAAAAGCAATCCTGCGTTGCTTTATCAAGTTTGCCTCTCAATTCTTGACTTTTAAAATTGGCGCGGTCCCATTCAAGTTTTGGGCTTGTCAGTGGGGGGTAACCATAAAAGAAGCTCATTTTGAAGACCTGTTATAAATTGTTTAAAGACGAGGCTATCATTATGGAAAGGAAAAATGTTGTCCATTGGCGGAAGGGTAAAGTTAATCAACACGGTTTTGATGAGTCTGCCTATTCGTTATCTTGCGTTCTTTCAAGCGCCGACCATGGTCTTGAAGGAAATTGTATCAATTCAATGAAAGTTTTTGTGGGTTGGAACGGCGGATAAAAACAGTGTTGCTTGGGTCATTTGGGAGTCAATTTGTCATCCTAAGGAGCAAGGTAGGCTGGGAATTAAAGATATTTCCTTGTTTAATAGGGCTCTCGTATCAAAAAATTTGTGTCAAATACTAACGGTGGAAGGGGCAGTATGGCGTGGTATTATTAATCACAAATATGAAGGCACTACTCTTGAATCACTATGGTGGTGCGATCTAATGTTGTTGATGGACGAATAGGACGAATGATCATTCTTTTATGTGCTAACTTTCAGGTTAAAGGAAGGAGCTACTGTACCTTTCTGGACAGGAAAGTGGATAGGCCAACACAATCTTAAGGTAACATTTCCTCTCCTTTTCGAGACATCTACTGTTAAAAATGTGGTTGTGAAGGATGTTGGCACCTGGGACTGTAGTTGTTGGAACTGACGCATGGAAGCATTGGGCTTGGATAGCAGTCATAACCTGCGGTCTGAGGTTGCAGAGCTGAAGAATTTGTTGTATGAAGTTCGTCTATTACTGGGTGTGGTGGTAGCTTAATCTGGACTTTGAGTGTAAACAAAGCATTCTCAGTTACTTCTTATTATCAAAGACGACAACTGATATTGGAAGAGTGAAAATTATTCAAGCGCACAAATCAGCACTAAGATTAGTGTGGAATACAACTATGCCTTTAAAAGCCAGAGTATTTGGTTGGAGGTTGATTTTGGATAGGTTACCCACAAGAGCTAATCTAGCTTCTAGAGATATTTTGCATAATGTCTATGATATTGTTTGCGTATTTTGTTTCATGGTTGAAGAAGATGCTAGACATGTTTTCTGCTCGTGTTGTAATATTCGGTTGGTTTGGCTAAAGATGTTGGATTGGGTAGATATTTCTAGATGTATTGAAGACAATTGTTGCAATTTTTTGTTGGCTTGGTTTGTAGGGATGAAGACAAAATGCTCCGCCGAAAAGGCGTACCTGTTGTGGTTTGCAATTTGTTGGTGCATTTGGTTCTCAAGGAACCAAATAATCTTCAATGATGGGGTTGGAAACGCGGAGGTAATTTTTTTTAAAGATAATTTCTTGCTCTTGGTGGTGGTTAGTTTCAAGCACTAAGAAGACAAGTAGGTGCACTTATTATAAATGGATTAATTGTCCTTGTGAATTCTTGTAAGTTTTGTTAATTGTGAAAATCATTTTTCTGTTGTGTATTTAGGTTGGAGTACCCTAGTACCTCGTCTAAATCTATATACTTTACTTATAAAAAATAAAATAAAAAATAATTTTATAAATATTGATAAAAAAAAAACTTTATAAATATCAGACAAATTATTGAAGGACACTAATATTAATGTTACGTATATACATCCAACACAATTTAGTGTAGACATGCATTTCATTTCCTTGAGTCTTATTATAGTGTCTTCCACGACTCCAAGTGTTGTAGAGTAATTTCAACAAGATTTTATTACAAGTATTTCTTAATGAGAATATTGTATTCTTTTTCTCTATTTTCAATCCAAATAACATCTTATTAAGAATTAACTTAGGGTAGTTATTAGTTAATAGAGGTAAAAACACCCATTTAACGTATAAATTTTTACTCATTCATATCTTTAAAAATGGTGTCCACATGTAACAACACTCACTCTTAATTAACATCACAAATGAACATATTTGCTTGCGTCATGACAAAGCACTAAACTTAAATTCCATTTGATGGTCAACGAAATCAAACATCTCCCACTTCCCATAAATTAAGCAAACTAAAAAGAAAGTGAACAATAAATTTAATATATCTTACTTTTTACGATGATTCTATTATAAACGTAAAATAGGATTCTAGTAATTGATTTGTTTTAGAAAACGGATAAGAGAATCTATAAGGTGAAAATTTGAGGTGAGAGAGTTAGTGGCATTTATTATTAAGTGCCGGTGTTGTGTAAAACTAGGATTTCTCTTTTTTAAATAATTTAGCTTTTTTGGTCTATAAAAAGCTCGTTTGCGTTTTCATGATCACCCACAAACTCACAATTCACATAACTTTATAGTTTTGTGTGTGTGCTTTGTGTGTGTGTTTTTTTTTCATAGATCAAAAGAGATCAATGGAGGATCAAAATGCTATTGATAAGGTTAACAATGGTTCACTACTTAGAAAAATGAAACCCTACCTTGCTATATTGTCTCTTCAATTTGGTTACTCTGGGATGTATATCATTACTATGGTTTCTTTTAAACACGGTATGAGTCATTGGATTCTCTCGGTTTATCGTCACGTTGTGGCCGCTATTATAATCATCCCTTTCGCGCTTGTGCTCGAGAGGTACTTTTCTCAATCATTTTCTTCCTCTTTAGGCGTCTCTTTCGCCGATGTTGAATTATTTATTACAGACACTTTGAAACTGAAAAAAAAAATCTTTAATTTTGTTGTCTTGAAAAATTATCATTTTTTAATTTTTAATTTATTTAGTAATTATGGTGTGTTTATTTTTCCAGGAAAATAAGGCCAAAGATGACTCTTCCTATATTCTTGAGGATAGTGGCACTTGGTTTCCTTGAGTAAGGCTCTTTATGATTTTTTTCACCTATTATATATTCTCAGGATTTCAGAATTGAATCTTTTACATTTGGTTCTGTTAATTAATGTCTTCATGGAATATTGGACATTTATTATGTTTTTTTAAAAGTATATATATGCATGCATGCATAAGTATATATAAAATTCAGATTCTTTGTTGTTTGGTGAAGGAAATAAAAAAATATTCGTAGAATATAATAACAAATAAAATAGATTTAATCTCTTTGTTATATTATTTCAATTTCTTTTTTTTGATCTTGCACTTTTCACTGGTTTACTAGATAATCACAAATACTATTGTTTATCGTTGATTAACATATTCGTTTGAATTAAAGTTTGATTTAATTTATACTATAAAATCGATTTAGAAGAGGAGAATTGTCTCAACTTACAAATATATGATCAGATTATACATTATTCGATATATGATATAACAATATTGTGTGAGAAGTACATGTTTTATATAGTTCATTATTGGCAAAATAATTAGCAAGAAATGTATTTTTTATTTCATTTAATAAATGATAAAAGTAGCTAGATATCAATTTCCTATTTGTTTTCTTCTTAGAAACTTTTTTATTTTTGATACACTAATTTAATTATTAATTGTTTTTTTTTCATTGACATGAGTTGGAATTCGTCCTTTAACACTTTCAACTTTTAACTCAAATGAGCAACTTAATGCATAAGTAGTTGTGTTAACAATAAACAATTTTTCATATCATCAATGTCAATTTATACTTTTCTTAACTTTATTTTAATAATTAATCATATCATTGATGTTGATATATTTATTATTTGTGCTTCTTACTAATTTCTACAAAAAATCTGTATGTATATTTTAGATGAGTCTTCTTTTCAAACCTTTTTTTTATGTTTTTCACTCAAACTTAAACCTTATCTAAGAAAAATGGAGTTTAGTTCTAATAAGACCAATGTTGATATATTTTCTTGTCTTATTACTAATTAAAAAAACTCTAATCTTTTATATGTTTCATGATAAAATTTAACATGCATACTTATTATTAGTAATAATTTGATTTTATCCAGTCATGATTACAATTTTTATGCTAAAAGTCCAAAATGCAGATATTGAAATTGAAGTCAAATATTAATAGCAATTAATTATTTAATTAATTATAATTTTTTTTGGTGATAAAACCAAACAGGCCTGTACTAGATCAAAACTTGTTCAACATAGGAATGAAGATGACTTCAACAACGTTTTCATCTGCAACTGTTAATGTCCTCCCAGCTCTAACTTTTATAATGGCACTCACTTTCAGGTAAAGCTTCAATCACTTCAAATGAAAGAAAAAAAATTAATGTGTATATAGACAAAGTTTAAAAGCTAGCTACAATTGTGCTATTGAAAGAAAAATTAAAAATTAAAATCCAACAATTTGGAAGCATGGGTCCATATATTTAGTGGACAAATTTGCATGGTTTATCTTTAAATTAAAAAAAATTAAAGCTTGATTTAACATAGACCAAACTCGAATGTGTCAAATTGAGATAAGCAACACATAATTTTCAATGTATGCATATCTAATCAGATTCCTTTAGTTTTCTAATTTTTTTTTTATAAGTAATGATATATTCAATAAAATTTGATTTGATTTTTAAGATTTATATTCTTAATTATTCCAATTATTCTAATAATATGGTAATTAATATATTTTTATTCTATTATTTAATCAGGTTAGAGTCAGTAAACTGGAAAAAATTTCATAGCGTAGCCAAAGTAATTGGAACGGTTATAACCGTTTCAGGAGCTATGGTTATGACTTTGTATAAAGGACCTGCCTTTCAGATCATAAAAGGAGGAGCAATCAGCCACCACAACGCCGCGGCTGCCGGTGAACCGATTCAACAAAATTGGGTGATGGGTCCAATAATGCTCATAGCAAGTTGTGCTAGTTGGGCTGGATTCTTCATTTTGCAAGTAAGCATAGCCAACTCAAACATTATATATAATTAGTGTTAATTACCTAATTAATTAAATAATCAAATAATTAATTTGTGTTGCTATTTTATTTTTTGTGAAATTAGTCATTTACATTGAAGAAATACCCAGCAGAGCTATCACTCACAGCATGGATTTGTGTAATGGGAATCATTGAAGGTTCAATTGCATCACTTATATTTGAAAGGGACATGAGTGTGTGGGTCATAGGTTGGGACTCAAGGCTTGTTGCTTGTGTATATTCTGTAAGTCTATAAACCTTTTCATTAATTTCTTAAATGATGATTAATTTCTAATTAATTATTTAATTCATCAAAATTAATTTTCGATAATAATTATATATATAACCAGGGTGTGATATGCTCTGGAATGGCATATTACGTACAAGGAGTTGTAACCAGAGAACGTGGACCAGTTTTTGTGACTTCTTTCAGTCCATTATGCATGATTATCACTGCTGCATTGGGTTCACTTGTCTTAGCAGAACTAGTTCATCTTGGAAGGTAAAAAAAAATTAACTAATTTTAGAATTTCAACTTTTGTCAGTAAGTAAGAAGTTAACTCACATACCGTGAGGCCGTGAGTTAAACTTCTGCTATAAAAATTTTCTTATGCCTAATACTTCTATAAACATTCTAACTTCTGAGTTTTTGGATTCTTACTCACCTAAATTTTATGTGAAAAAAAACAATGCTAATTAATTTTTTTTATATGTTATTAATTTGTAGTATATTTGGAGCTATACTCATAGTTGCTGGACTTTACACTGTGGTGTGGGGGAAAAGCAAAGATCGTCATGAGAGCACAAAAGAAATCCAAGAATTACCAATAAAGGAGGGTACAAAATCAGAGACAGACATTTTTGAAGGAATTGAGATTAATGTTGCAGATGAAAAGTTGAAAAAAGGAGCAGCAAAAAATGTTCTAACATAAGCATGATCATGAAGTTGTTATTATAAATTAATAATAAGTATAGTTTTATGCATCAAATTTTCCTATTTGTTAGAGGTTTGAAAGGTTTTCTGCTGTGTGAAAATCTTTTTTCAATTTACCGTAGTTTTACTTTTGTTTTTGTTACCTTAACTTTTAATGTTCGGAAAGTATAATGTCGTGAATCAATAATGCAATATATAATGCTTTTGTTTTGTCTCTTTTTGTCCTTTTTCATACTTTTGATTTTAGTTATATTTTTATTTGCCATGTTATTAGTTACTTATATAATGATACGTTCTTTTTAAGCAAAGATTCAGTATGTAAAATAAACAGTGCCACTGAACCTTAGGAATCTATTCTTTAAAAAATAAAAGAATAGTTACAAAAGTCAAACGAATCTATCACGTTAATTTTTTTCCTTTATGAATTTTCATTAAAATATGGTTGGTAGAATTGAACTTGATTTAACACGTGCTTTTTGTATCTTTAATTGTTCTTGAATAAGTTTGCGATATTTTGGATTTCTGTAAAAGAAAAGTGAAAACGAATAAAATCAATGAACTTCTATATTCTCTTTTTAGAGTATTATAAATTTTTATTTAAAAAAAGAAAGAAAAGGAAATGCTTCAATAGTATGGTTTCAAGATTCTTTTACTCAGTTATGGAAATAAGAACGAAAAGGAACAACATAGTATCTGTCAACAATGCAAGAGGTAGGGTAGAGCAATTGTCAGAGGTAGAAAGAGTTAGGTTGGAGGAACTCTTTTTATACAATGAAATTAAGCAAGCAATTTGGTAAGTGATGAAGAAAAAGTCTTAGGAGAGACGGGTACAAGTGTACAACTTTATGTTCATCAAGTAGTGTAAAACATTATATTTTACGTTTTTAAAATTTCACTATTACAAAAAAAAAAATATTTAATCTCGAACGCAAAGTTAATTTAATTTCGATAATAGAAGCAAGGTAACGATGTGTGTCATGGAAATTCTTCATTATACCTTTTGGTTTTAGAATATTCGAGGAGATAGTTTAAACGATCATTGTTCGGTCTCAAACAATAGTTTTTCTTTTATATTTTTAAAACTAGTGTCACATACTTCTCGGTTTATGACCAAAATCGAGAAAAAATATAAATTCTTTTGTTTAAATATTCATTAAATTGATTACAAAGATTATTTGTAAATTAATTTGTTTACAAACTATATTGTTTATGCAAAATATTAAATTAAAAATATATAAGAAATTTTGAATGTAATTCATCATCATCGGTGTCAGTAAAGAACAAATGTTAAATATTTTAAGAAAGAACAAACGTTGTATCCTCGTTTAATTGAATCTTGGGAGTAGATCAAGTGTTGGATGCAATATTTTCCCTATGAATTTTGCATTTATTTGTTTATGACATAAAACAAGAAAAAAATGTTAGATAAATAAAATTAATATTTAATTATATGATTATTTAAGAACACAAAGTTTAAACCCAAATAATTTTCTGCTCTGCAATCCATCATAGAGAACTTTTCTAACCTTCTTTAAGTTTTAAAATTTTCATTTTAAATGTTTCGTTATCAATTTTTAATATTCAGAATGATTTTATAATGTCTTTTAGGTTTCATGTGGATCACTAATAACAGTGTTTTGAGCGTTGATACTCGTTAAATTGACGACAAAGATTTGTTTAAGAACGATGAAAAAAATCAATAAACACGCTGATATTTTTCCTCGATTATTACTCAAAATCGAGGTAAAATGTGTTTTTTTAAAATAAAAAACACAATAAAAAATGTTGCATCACAAATGCCACGTATCTCTTGGTTTATGTAAAAACTGTGAGGGGTAAGTTCTTTTTTAAATTATATTGTTTATACAGAATATTAAAAGACATTATTTAAACAAATTCAGATTTTGACAATAGATTCTCGAACAACAAATATTTTCAAGTTATTCTTGAAGAATAATAAATCTTTAATGTTATCCAGATTTTGTTGTATACCCTTTGCGCACATTCTTTTCAAGTTCAATGGATTGTATGCATTCAATTTCTGATAAGTTATTTGTTCCAACCATGTGAATTTTTTTATGCACCTGCAACCCATCATAGAGATCTGATCAAAGATTTCACAATCTTGAGCAAATAATTTCATGGCAAATGCTTTCACAAGAAAGAGAACAAGATACATGTACTTGCAATATAACATGTGTAAGAATAAATTTTTAAATATTGTCAACCGAGGAAAGAAATAAATTATGAAGTTTTTTATTTGATTGACAACATAAGAAGGTCATTCTCAAAATAGAACAATAGCATCAACACCATTATGTTAGAATGGATTGCAAGAACAGAAAAATATTTTCTTCAAGATGAATATTTTTTTTGTCTTGCAATATATCCCTAAGAATGATGGTACAAGTTTGGAGCAATTACATATAAGTTAGACTTAGGGTAAAATCGAATTAACGAGTATTTTTATAGTAAAATCTGATCATATAATCCCTCGGTTGTTAAAGATAACTGAAGGAATAGATCATTAATTTAAAAATAAATAACAAAATAAAAACAAATGCACAACCTTTAAAGAAATAAAAGTATGAACTGCATTTGGTGGGATTCGAAGCATGTCCTAAATTATTTTTTCCCTTGGTTATATTTAGAAACCGAGGGAATATATGATTTTTTTTAAATAAAATAAAATATGGGGTGCCTTGGCATTATACCTCTATTTTTTGTTGGGTGAGGTGAAAGATTTGTCATTAAATGAATTATTTGTAGTAGTGTTTACAAGAGCTTAATGAGTATATACATATTTACTTGGTAGGTTACCTATATAAAATCATCTAAAAAATCCTTGCTGCAAGATTGAAGAAGGTGGTTGGAAAGTTGATATCAACAAGTTAATCTGTGTTTGTACCAAATAGACAAATACAAATGAATTAGCGCTCTTACAGTTCGTAGATGACATTACCATCTTGGATGAGCACTCTTAGAGTAACATTTAGAGAATTGAAGCAATTTTGCATGGATTTGAACTAGTTCAAGTTTGCATGTCAATCTCTATAAAAGTAAGTTGTTCGGTATAAATTTGAAGGAAGACTTTATGCAGACTGCATCCGCCTTTCTATCTTGTTGTATGGGTTTGACCCCAGTTTGCTTCATTTGTATAATTATAAAAACAAATACAAGCAGAGGAACATCTTGGAACCCAATCTTAGAGAAGTTGCGAGTCAGATTATCATAATGGAACAGAAGATATTTATTAAAGGGGAAAGAGTAATGATGTTGAATTCTGTTTTGAGTAGCATACCATTATACTGCCTATCATTCTATAAAGCACCAAGGAAAGTAATCCAGTAAGTAATCAAGATACAATCGAAACTCCTATATGGAGGATTTTAATAAAGAAGCAAATTAGTTAGGCGAGGCGGGACATCATATGCAAGTCAATGGAGGAGGGAGAGCTAGGTGTCGAACATGTTGCATTATTCAACATTTCACCTTTGAGCAATTGGAGATGGAGGATCCTAAATCATCAAGGAGATGTTTGTGCATGATTATTATCTTATAGGCACGATAATACGAAATAAAGTATGCTTTGTACCTACAACCGATAAGAGAGACACTCTTTATAGCGAAGGAATTTGATGTCATTGGGAATAACAACTGACACTACTACGAAAAACATATACAACAACGATTGGAAAAAGGATAACATCACGCGTGACCTGCCATTTTTACGTAGGGTGTGATTGTATATACGCTACTTGCAATCACGGTCTTATGACTGTTGTAGAAAACTGGAAACCGCACTATAATGATCACAGTTGATATAACTAGCTGTTGTAATACATTAAAGATCCTAGGTTCGATTCCCAGCAGCGCATCTTTTGGTGTAATATATTTTTGACAGTGTTCACTATACAACCACGGTTATATATTACAACCGTCGTTAAATTATATATTTTTTTAAAGTAATTTTTCTGCATTTTGAAATTTTTTCATTTTTAACTTGTATTTTTTTTAACCATATCAGAATAGAAACAACAATTATATCAAAATGAAGAATTGTATTGTATTACATAAAATTCATACAATGGATTAAGGACCAAATATTGTATATATACTACATCAAAATAAAAATGGCACAAAACAACCTACAAACATTATATAATAACACATAATTGTATCTTATAATGTCTTATTTTCTCTGTTTCTTGGTGTCTTGTCTCTTGGTGTATTGACTTTAAACACCTACAATTTCAAATAATCATACTTGTTTGTAAATATACTTAGAAATAATGACTTACATTAATTAAATTATGAAGAAAGAATAAAACACTAATTACTTGTTAATTTTTCCATAAGCCTTCATAATGATCAATACGAATAGTATGCGCATCATCTCTACCAACTTCATCAAAAGTGGTTGGCACTTTAGTATATAATAACAAAATTGAAGCATAAATTTAATGAACGAACCTCAAGTTAGCGATTGGTGAAGACGAATCTGAAGGTTGAAGTATGTTTAAAGAGTGACATGAATGTTAGGGTCATGTTACGATAAAGAAGACTAAAATATGTTAGGATTTTCTTTTGAGATAAACGGTTGGTATGTACTGAACGATAGATACTTTTACTTATATACTAAAAACTATCACTTTTCATCACGGTTAGAAAGAAAAACCGTGATGCAATTTTCAAATTTTAAAACGGTTGTATTGTAAAACCGTGGTTAAATAAATTTCATTTTTTTATTTATAAGCGCAATGGTGAGAGAGTTTTTATTTGTTATTATTGTTATTCTTCATTACTATTGTTATTGTTGTTGTTATTTTTGTTGGCTTGTACTATTTTTTTGGTAAAGAGAAAATAGTATATAAAGGCAAGAGTATATAAAACAATACTAATAAATAAGTTCATTAAGAAGCCTAAAAGGGAAGAGTATATAAAAAATAATTTTTTCATTACATAATGTTGTCAAGATCGGAACAGTATCCCCTAGCA